ATTACACATGATCTCAAAGGGGAGATTCCAATTTAGTGCTTGTATGATGGGAGCGGATGTAAGCAACTCTTTGAGCTTTTCAAAAGCCTCTTGACATGCCTCATCGAACTCAAAATCAATTTCCTTTTGGAAGAGTTGGCACATTGGTCTTGTTATCTTTGGAAAGTCTTTGATGAACCTTCGGTAGAAACCCACATGACCTAAAAAAGAACGAACTTCCCAACCACAAGTCGAGTAAGGTAAGCTTTGAATAACATCAATATTAGCTTTCTTTACCTTGATTCCTTTCTTTAACACAATGTGACCTAAATAAGACCTCGACTCACCATAAAATGACATTTTTCAAAATTCAAAACCAAATTTGTTTTAATGCATATTTTCAAAGTCTTTGTAAGGTTGGTTAAACACTCTTGAAAGGAGTTTCCATATACCGTAAAATCATCCATAAAAACTTCAACTATGTTTTCAACGTATTCCGAAAAAATACCCACCATACAATGTTGGAAAGTAGTCGGGGCATTACAGAATCCGAATGACATTCTCCGGTATGCAAAAGTGCCAAATGGACATGTAAAGGTTGTCTTTTCTTGGTCTTTCGGTGCCACCGAGATTTGGTGAAAACCGGAATACCCGTCTAGACAACAATAATGAGATTTCCTGGCCAACCTTTCTAACATTTCATCAATGAAAGGTAATCGGAAATGGTCTTTTCTCGTGCTTGCATTAAGCTTTCAGTAGTCAATACGTACTCTGCATCCGTTTTGCACACGGGTGGGGACCGTAATACCTTTATTGTTCTCGACCACCGTGATTCCCGTTTTCTTTGGTACCACTTGCATCGGGCTCACCCACTTGCTATCCGAGATTGGATAGATCATCCCTGCATCAAGAAGCTTTGATATTTCTTTCTTGACAACTTCCATCATATGTGGATTCAATCTTCTTTGTGCATCCCGACTTGGCTTGCATTCATCCTCCATCAAAATCTTGTGCGTACAAGTGGAAGGGCTTAATCTCTTGATATCCTCAATCGTCCAACCCATGACTTCTTTGTGTTATTTCAACACTTTGAGGAGTTTCTCTTCTTCAAATTCGGTTAAGCGAGTAGAAATGGTAACCGGAAGAGTCTCGTTCTTTCCCAAATAAGCATATTTCAAGTGCTGAGGTAGGACTTTCAATTCCAATTTTGGCGGTTGAACAAGGGAAGGTGGTAACTTTGTATGATTTGGAGGCAACTCAACTTGTTTGACATTAAATCTTGTGTATTTCTTCACTTCCAAATTATTGACCAACTTTTCAACTTCCAGATCTAGAGAATAGAGCTTCAATTTCTCGGCTAGCTTCCCACAGTCAAACCCTTTGCTTAGAATCATCTCCAACATGTCACCATTAGTCAACTTAAACAATTATTGGGTTAGTGGTTCAACAACATCAACAAAATATAAAGATGAAACATCACTAGGATATCTAATAGCATCATAAATATTAAAGCTTATTGTTTCACCATCAAATTCCATTGCTAAACTACCCGCATACACATCAATTTTTTCCTAGCCATTTTCAAAAACGGTCTTCCAAGCAAGATTAGATCCGATTTGGAGGAAACTTTTTCCTCTAAATCAATCACATAGAAATCCGCCGGGAAGACCAATTGGTTCACTTGCACCAAAACATCTTCTAAGACACCACTAGGAAAAACACTTGATTTATCCGCAAGTGAAATTATGACACCCGTTTCGTTTAAATGACCAACATTTAACGATTCGTATACCGAATAGGGCGTGACATTAACAGAATCACCAAGATCAAGCATGTCACTACTAAAAGTAACATCCCATATTTTGAAAGGAATCGTAAACATTCCGGGGTCTTTGCATTCAGGTGGAAGTTTTCTTTGTAAAACCGCAGATGCATTTTTGTTCATTGAAATCTTTTCATTCCTCTTCAATTTTTTTTTGTTTGTGCAAAGTTCTTTAATTTTTTTTTGCATATCTAGGGATTTGTTTGATTTCATCAAGCAAAGGAATGTTTACCTCCACCTTTTGAAAGGTGTCCAAGATCTCTTTCTCCTCAACATTCTTCTTTGAAGTTGCAAGTCGGGATGGAAATGGTGGTTGAGTGGTTATTGGAGTGACTAGAGGGGTAATCTTCTTTAGAACTCCGGTTTTTGCATCATTTTTTACAGTAGGATCCTCAATGGGAGTGATCTCTATTTATTCCTCAACGTCCCTTGACTTTTTCTTTGAGTTACTCTCTTCAGCTTGTTTACCATTTCTCAAGGTTACCATATTGACATTTAGATTCTTTTCGGTTTGAGAAGGTAGTTTGCCAAGTATGTAACTATATCTCCCACTTGTGGTTCAAGGTTGGAAATACCAGTCCTTGTCTCTTTTTGGAATTGTTGGGTGCTAATGGGTAGAGACTTGACAATGTCTTCAAGATATAGTCCGAAGCTACTAGGTTGGGATTGAGGGGGTTGTTGGTAATAATGTGGAGGTTGTGGTTTGGATTGATAATGGGGTTGTGGATGTTGGTAATGGGGTTGTTGTGGTGGGTAAGAAGGTCTAACCAATGCATTTTAAGGCAATGGTCTTGGGTTGTAGCTCATATTGGTATTTTGCTTCCAACTTGAATTGTAGGCATTTTGGTAACCGGATGGTTTGTTGTGGTAGTTTTGGAATTCTCTGGTGGCATTTACATGTTCCGCATATTCTTGAAGAATGGGACACATATCCCTGTGTCGTGCCAGTTTTGTCGCGAAACTTCGACAAGTTATAACTTCTTCGTTATAACTCGGATTTCGACGTTCTTTATATGTACGGAAACCTTGTACTACAACTTAGTTACGATTATTTATTCTAAATAATCCTCTATCAAAAAGTCATTTTTGACGCTTATCGTCTCTAAATTGACTAGCCCGAATCTGCAGGCGTTACATTATAGCCATTTTTCTTCAATTTTTCTTCATTTTAAGCCCAATTTGGCTTCTCCGAATCACCCATAGCTCACGTACTCGTCCGATCAATAATCTCCGCATGCACAAATATTCTTCCATTTTCTTGAAAATTCAAAGTTCATCTTCTCCAAGCTTTCAAATAATCAACAAGCCCATGATTTGCATCATCTTCATTATTATTCTTGCCCATGAATCTTCATTGTCCTCCTAGTCCATTTGCATCCCAAAGATCCCGCTCCGCTAGTCTCCTTAAAATCTGCAATTATGCTCACGAAACTAGAAAGTACCCGAAATAGTCATAAAATAACAAAAAGGGAAATATGCATGAAAATTAGCTAAATTATGAATGAAATATGCTAAAATAAACTATAAAAAGAAGTAAATAAAATGAAACTATCATCTATCTGAAAACATCTTTATCTCTTTTGTATCTAAACCTAATCTCTAGTTTAGTTTAACTGAATTTAAACAAAATCCCCATTTACTTTACCGTTTATACTTAAACTAACAATTGAACTTTTTTGATCTAAATCATTCTCGTTCCCATTGTGTTCGATACCTGGTCAAACTCAACTATACTGCTACACGATTAAATACACTGCCTAGTGTGTTACATTTTAGTTGCGATAAAATGTTTTATAAATTTAAAACTTTGTTCATAATAATATATATAGTTAACTGCACATCAATACATGACCTAGAGAAAAAGTTATCACAACGTCTATATTGGTTATGAACGCTGCTTCCATAGCGTCCCTGAAAACTTCATTTATTCTCATCAGGAACTAGGTACAAAAATCGACATATTTTTAACGAAAAAACACTATAGAAAGGGTTTGGTTGTTTCTGTCAATAACAATTGCTATGAAGATTGAGCTTATGAGTCCACTAGGGACACTACATATAAAGATGACATGTAGCATGCACACAATGAATGTATAAACTATATTTTTTTGGCCAAACTAAACAATTAATTGTAACAAAATTAATGTATTTAAATAAACAATTAAAATTTGGAAAAAAAGTTAAGCTTACCACATATCCAAGAGCCAAAAACAATGTTGAAAACGATCCATAACATTTGTTATGATGTTGGTGTAAGTATGTGGTTGGTTATTCCAAGATTATGTAGGTAAACATACAAGTTAACAAAGTTTTCTTCGTGATTACTACATGAGAAACCCATTTTGAAACTATTATAAAACACAATTACGAATATGTGGTTGTAAGTGAAACAAAAGAAGATGGAATACACTACATATGTAAGGGGAAAACTAGTATTCGATATCCGGAATGAATGTCTGGAATGTACAATCCACACACAACAGAATGTATAATAGGTTCGGAATACAGATACATAGTTCGGAATGTCAGTTTAACATGTACGGTCTTTGCTACAGTCGTCCAAAATTCACTGTGTTAGTCTGGAATGTATGCTGATAGATTCTGGAAGCAACCTCTACCAACATCCGTCAGATCCGAAATAAATTTAACTAATCCAAAATGGCCTAATTCCGAATTTGATGGTCTTATTTCCATTTTTTTAAAAAATAATATTTTTATTAAAACATCTATTTTTATTGGGTAGTTTAGTGAATTTTCTTGATAATATTTCAAATCGAATGACATTTAATAGTTCCTTTAACTAGTTTAGGGTGTGTTTGACACGGAGCTTTTGCAAGCGTTTGAGAGCTTCTAGCTTTTAGCTTTTGACAAAACGCTCTAGTTTAAACAAAAAGTTTCGTTTGACAGTACGAGCGTTTAACTTTTATTTTAAACAAAACGCTCCAATTTTAAAAGCTACTTCATGTAGCGTTTAACAAAACGCTACTGAGCTTTTGAAATTAATTTCCATAATTACCCTTAAAAATATATTTATATATTTATTTATTTTTAATCAATTGTCCTTTTATGTAATTTTATATATTTCAAAAGATTCCAATTACTTTCGACAAACATTCATATAACAAATAAAAGCTATAGCTTCCCGCTATCCGCTTCCGGTTAACGGGTGCGAAACACGTCTTAATCAGGTTGGATCAAAATGACCATTGAGCAGACCTTGAAATCACCGGTTACAGACTCGGGTGGAGCCGGTTTCATTTGCAGAAAGAATACAAGCACAACAAAATCTAACCTTGCATCACTTCCGGCAAACGCTGCTGCGTGGGAGCGTACAAAACTCCCAACTACTAGATTGACGTCTCTTTCTCTCATTCCGCTCCGATTCCGTTCAACCCCTGCCGCCGGTAGTTTCTTCAACTCCAGTCTCCACTCTCTTCTTTTCTTCGTCCTTTCCGTCACTCTGGATTTTATATAGAGATTGAGTAAACCCCCAATCGTTGACGGCAGCAGGGTTTCCGAAACCCATTACCCCTCTATCTATCTAATCCACGTTCAATCCTCTCTCTTTCTCAAAGCAGTTTCAAAAATTCACCCACATTCGCTCATTTTCTGTATCAGGATTTGCGACGGCGATGTGGCGGACGTCTAGGGTTTTTTCGTGAGGTTTGTTATGGAATAGGACTGGAATTTTTGAAAATATAAGAGGTTAATTCCGATTATAAATTCGTTTTAGATCTGAATCATTGTATAAAAGCCATGTTACCATTCCTCATTTCGCTGCAATTTTCTATGAGTTTTCCACGAGACTCCATTTGCGTCTATTTTGCCTTTTACTGATTAGCAACATTATCACCAACAATATAAGAAAGTTCCACGTCTTCTAATACCGAGCCCTTTCTTTGGTCTAGGAAAATTTCGAAACTGCATATTCAAGTACGCCATGCCTGCCATGAAGAAGGTCGAACTGTGAATTTTTTTGTGTAATTAGATTATCTCTATGTGTTTTTGCTGTAACAGCAGTTATAGACGACAGTATACTGATTTGACTCTTTTGCTTTTGTTGATTGGTTAATCATTACAGAAGACTGAACCTGGTGATATGAGGCAATTGTTTGAAAGACTGACGAAAGAGATTGGAGAACCTGTCGAATTTGAACTTCCTGATTGGTTGAATAAATGGAAACCTAACTATACCATCATAAAGCGCAGTATCCTTTTCAAGTGTTGCGATTAATATCATTATATCAATGTGTATGAATGATTATACATTTTATGTTCATACTTCTGCTTTCTTTTAATCAAGATTTAACATATATATAAGATATATATCTAACAAAGAAGGTTAAGAAACGAGTAAGAGTAGAAGATGATGGAATATTCTGCTCTTGCACCTCAACACCAGGTTCTTCTGCTGCTTGTGGTAGAGATTGCCACTGTGGGTAAGAACTAAGAACTAATGAGTATTTCATAAACAAAATTTTCTTAATTTATATTCTGTTATCTGTTGCAGGATGCTATTGTCAAGCTGTTCATCTAACTGTAAATGTGATGATTCATGCCTCAATAAACCATTCCACAGACGACCTATGAAGAAGATGAAGATAGTGCAGGTATTACTGAACAACAGAGTTAATGTGTTTTGCTGATGTCATTGTGATGCCATTTACATCATTTATTAAGTTAATGTGCTTTCTTAGACTGAAAAATGTGGGTCAGGGGTTGTTGCTGAGGAAAATATCATGCAAGGAGAGTTTATTATTGAATATGTGGGAGAAGGTAACGTCTTTGAGTTAAAAGTATGTTTCTACCTTCTATTTTTCAGTGTATAGGTTGTTTTCTCAAATATTTTTTAATGATATGGGCTATTATTAAAAAAAAATGCAGTTATTGATGACAAAACATGTGAGGAGAGGCTATGGAGAATGAAGAGACAAGGAGAAACAAACTTTTATTTGTGTGAGATTAATCGTGACATGGTGATTGATGCTACATTCAAAGGAAACCAATCAAGATATATAAATCATAGTTGTTCTCCAAATACCGAAATGCAAAAATGGTTTTACTTTTTAGTTTTCCTTTCCCTTATTTTTTAATCTTAATTTCATCATAATAACTTTATAACAAAAACCATCTCTCCAGGATGATTGATGGTGAAACAAGAATCGGGATTTTTGCAACTCGGGATATAAAGAAGGGGGAGCATTTGACCTATGATTACCAGTATGATGATATATTTTTTTAAATTAAAACATTATTTATCCAGACAATTAATGGAATAAAAATTATCAGGTTTGTGCAGTTTGGTGCAGATCAAGATTGTCATTGTGGTGCAAAAGGGTGTCGACTGAAACTGGGAGTCAAACCTAATAAGTCAAAGTTTCCTTCTTCAGATGCTGCTTTAAAGATTGTTGCATGTCAGGTGGCTGTAAATTCTCCAAAAGTAAAAGCAGTTCTTTATGGGAAAGATGTATGTATGTCTTTTCTTTTATATATATATATATATATATATAAAGATCCAACAATATGTGTTATGGTTATAATCATTTAAAAACTCATTTTGTGTTGTTTAATTAAAATGTAAACTAATTTGAACTTTTGTTTGTTCTAAAGGCTTACAAGAATGGTGTTGGACAACGAGGTACAAAGTGTATATATAACTTATTTTTATATTTTGTTTAATTTGTATGAAAGATTCTTAAATTCCAACTTTCTATTTTTTGTGTTTATAGCATATTCGAGAAATGCCATTGATGAAATAAGAATACCTCATAATTGCATAGGGGAAGTTGTCAGAATAGTACGCCCTGCTTCAGAGAGGTATACCTTTATTTTTGTTTATATTTACAATTATGAAATTCCCAGTATCAGACTCTGTATTGTGTTTGGCATGTATTGGACTGATGTCCCATCCAAAAGGTGTACTGTTAGTAAAAAGAATTTTTTTAAAGATTTATGTGTTGTTGTTTTTAGGACTTTTGGTATGATCAAGCGGTTTGACATCAATACAAGAAAACACTTGGTAAGCATAAGTTATTATTTTTTATTTATTTATTTATTTTGCATATAATTTGTGGTTGTTTTTTGATGGTTGACAAATGCGGTTATGTTTTCACACAGATCATGTTTGAAGATGGTGTGACTGAGCTTCTTAATTTGGCGCAAGTTGATTGGGAGCTTTGTAATTTAGCAAGCTTTTTACAGGGGTAAAACCGTAAAATTTTCACTCGAAACTGACAAAATGGTCAAACCCGCAGTGAGTTTTTTTTTTTGGGTGCAAATTCTTTTTTAAGAGGTGTTGCTGAATGCAAAATATCCTTGGGTCTATCCTCATATATGTTGTTTGTTGTTTATTAATTCTTTGTAAATTTGCTTGATAATTGTGAACGAAATATTGTTTTTGGTTAGCCTAACCTTGGTTTTATGATTTTTTAATTTCTGATGTTATTTTTATTAATGGTGTTACTATGTTGAAGTGAAAGAGTGTGTTGTGTTTGCTTTTTGCATTAAGCTATGAATAGAATAAAACACTTAGGTTGTTTCTTGCATAACAAAAGATGTATATTTGGTTTAGTTGGCACGAAGATTTTTTGTTTTAGACCGAACTTGTGTTGTAAGATATGATCCATCTTACAAGAGGCATAATACATTTGAAACCGATCATCAATTTTAATACATTTGGATTCTGGACATGAACAAATAAGCTTTGTATAAAATTTAGTTGCATCTTTTTTAGTATTGCCTCTAATAGATTTTGTTAAGTTGATTTAAAATTACAAATATCATACATGATGGAATATCTAGAACTACATAAAAAAACGTTAGCGATAGTCCAATGGATTCCAATTTTGACACTTCCACTCTTCTTGAAAGGTCTCGTAAGTATCATTATCTAGTATTTAAGTTTGAATTTAAAGTTATAAACGAATAGGAGACAACTACATTTGCTACCTCCTTTTTAGATTTGTCGTTATCTATACTTCTAAAAAGACGATTAAAAGTCTTTATTATATACTCTTTTCAAAAAATTTAAACCCCATAAAAGATTATACAATTTTGTACAATCTTCTTGCAAACCCTTGTACTTTGCTGAATAGTCAAATTTGTCATGTTATGAAAGTTAGATTTTATTTTCACAAACAAACGGTTTTGATAAATCCAACTGATAGTTGATAGCAAGTAGTTAATAGTTAGAAGTTGTAACTTTTACTTGTTATATGAATGTTTGACAATAATAATTGAAAGCTTCTAAAATATATAAAACTAAATAAAAATATAATTATTTAAAAATATATATACTAATATATTTGTGAGGACAATTCTGAAAATTGATTAAAAAGCTTCTAAATTATTTTATAGTTTTTTTTAAAAGCAACCTAAAATAATTTTTAGATTTGAAGCCCTTTGCTAACAAAGGTAATGTTGTAATTTGCAGTTAATTTCTGGATTTTTTTTCTTTATTCAATAATGGGTCGGGTTGACCAATCGAAATAAAATATTCGTTTTAAAGATTGAGGAGCCGACTAACCGGGTCGGGTTTTTGAAAATGGGGCTGAAGTTATTGTTTCGAAAATAGAGGGCTCTGAGAGTTCTGATTCGCACTTTCACTTCTCACTTGCAAAACCGAAGGGTTAGAAGAAATGGCATGGAGGCAAACGCCATTGTTGAATCGAAACATACTCTCGCTGCTTTCATCCAATTCAAATACTTTTATTGCTAGGTTTTCTTCCAAAGCAAATCCCTACCATGGTAAACAGATTCATACACTTACACACACAAATTAGGGTTTTATTTTATGTTGATTATGATGAGCAGTTTATCGTGGTTACAGTGAAGGTTGGTATACCGGAGTTCCTAAATGGAATCGGGAATGGAGTAGAGACTTATGCAGAAAAGCTCGAATCTGAATTCGGAGATTTACAAAATCTCCTGGTTGCTCGTTCTTTGAAGCTGAAGAAACTCAATGTTGGAGGCGATCCAAAAGTTTGCAAACACGTAAGTAAATCTACTTGCAATCTTATGATTTGGAATCTCTTCAATTTCATTATATTAATTGGAATGAGGTAACTGCTTCTTTCATGGCATTGAGTCTGTGTATGCTCTTACATTTTGATTTAAATTGACATAAAGCCATTCCAAGCTTCAGCCACCAATGGTGTTTTTTAGGTATCAATAGGTTCAAATTCCAATAGACATTCATAAGCTTGGAGGAATCCATATTTATTGACCCTATTGCCTCCATTAATCTAAGACTGATGTTATCTTTCTGTATTTGATGCAACAGAGGAAGCTGATATTAAAGTATGCCCATAAGTACAGGTTGGGACTTTGGAAGCCTCGAGTTGAACCTCCAAAATCCATTAAATGAGACATTCTAAAACATTGTCCTTCTTGATGAGACTTAGAAAAGCTCCATTAGAGATTAAATGCAGACATTAAACTTATCCTGTGTTTGTTTTCTTTGCATCCTTCATTCAGAAGGTTTTTGGAATTTATAAAGCAGCAGGCTTTGCAATTATTACTTGAATATTATGGTGGAATTATTCAAAGGCATAACGTAACTTAAAAAATCAAAATACTACATTCAAAATCTATATTAACTGATGTGATATGGATATATATTTGATGCACATATACATATTAAAATAGCCTTGAAACTATTGAGTCGAAAGATAGTAAACTTGTGATATTTGTAATTGAATTGGTTTATTATGCCTTGAATTATTAGAATGTCAAGAGGGTGGAAAGTGGAGTTTTGAGGAGTAAATTGTGGTTTTTGCTAAAACTCAAAGTATGTTGCTATTTCTTTTTTGAAAAATCTTAATTTGAAGAAAGGTAAAAATAGGGCATACATTGTGAAATAGTAATGTATTTTTTGTGCCGATCAAAATAATAATAATGTATTTTGTGTTTTTACTATTAAAAAGGCGATATACTTTAAATTTTACTGAAAAGTATGGAAGCATTAACCACTTTATATGTTTATATGTGGTGGCATTAGATCAAGGTTTGAATGAAATAAACCATTCTGTAGGTACTCTCTAGTAGTCTACACCAATGTCACATATAGTTGATAAATTTTTTTTTTTTTTTGTTTTTTTATTTTCAACATCCATAACATCTAGATAATTGATTACATGGATTTATGCTCATAATATTTCTTTTGTAACATCTATACTGACTTTTATGGCAATTATGATTGAAGTTAATGTGATTTTTCTGACTTTATGGCAATTATGATTAGAGTTAATGTGATTTGTGTATATATAATAGTTTATACTCTACTTGGAAGAAAAAGAGAATAATAAAGAAAAAACAATACAACACACATACTCTTGAGACAACAAACAATAACATTATGATCATGGGTTGAAAGTCTTTGAACACCATGAAAGAGACATGATAAATTTTCCACAGTGGAATAATTCAATGTATATTTCACACGTTTTCTTAAGTTCGGTAGTCTTTAAGAACCGTGCCAATTCTTATATCCTGAGACACGGTGTTTAATATTATGAGCGAAATTTGTTTTAAGAAAAACATGTTTACACGTGCCTCAGTCAAACTTGTTCTCGACATGATTTTCCATGTTTGGGTTGTTTGATTTGGGTAGGTTTATGTCAATCGTTAATATATTCTCTCTAACACATTTTGTCAATCTTGAATGACAACAATGTTTATATCTGAAAATAATGTCTTAAAACCCCAACAATTTGACATAGAAAACATCCAAAATTTAAGGAACTCAAAACATAGAAATCGTAAACATGTGTGTTAGGTTTTCACAACGATTTGAATTGAAACATTCTGATAACATATGAATTTTACATTATTTTTATGACAATATCATTTTGCTTTTCAGAAAATAAATCGTCTTCCGTTTTTTTTTTTTTTTTTTTTTTTTTTTTGAAAACTTAAAACATGAAAGTTGTAGAATATTATGTTAGGTTTCTATAAAAGTTAGAATCGATTCATTTCGATAATTTATGAAGTTTATATGATTTTTCTAAGATAATGTATTGTTTCTATTTACAAAACGAACTTTCTACTGTTAAGGCGTGCTATTTATAAGGAAACCACCGTAAAAAATATACACACTCGTTTCAAAGTATGATATATATGCATTATTTTAAATACGTTTTTATATTTATCATGTTTTTTTTTTTTTTTGTGAATTATTACTATCACTATTTATAATATTTATGGACTGTTTTATAATTTAAGAAAAAATGCTACCAAATAACACACCAACTAAATATAACCACCATATATTCTCTAATTATATAATTTCATTTTATTTATAAAAAAAACTTCACACATAATATATTTCCCAAAATAATTTATGTCGTTATCTACAAAAACTATGAATGAATTTCTATCTTTTGGTCAATAATCGCTCAAACGAAGATTAGTCTCCGACACAGTTTCACATGTGCGATTATCATATCAAGAAATAGAAAAAATTACTGTATTCGATGACGGTTCAAGTGGATGTGAAGATATTTTTCTAAAGTAATCTCAACACCTAGATTAGGTGAAAAATATCGGCAAACAGCTTGTCCATGACCTCTAACACTCGTTGTTGGTGGGAGTCCTGACCGCAAAAACATCATGGCATAGATGATAGACCCGATGACTTTATTTCTTTTATTTGATTATCACTCAACACACAGACAATATGATTTTTTTAATCATAGACACAACCTTAATAAATGGCTACACATAAAGTATTAAAAAAAACATAAGCTTAATATGATTTTCGAACATATACAAGATTTTTAAACAATATCACAATGTTTAAGATTTTGAACAAAATTATAACATTTAAATCCTGGGTGTTCATAATTTTCAATCATAAAAAATGTTAACAAAAGCAGAATATATATAATAATAGCATACTTCTATGTATACAAAATGATCAAATAAAAGTAGTATATATATATATATATATATAGATATATATATATAGATATATATATATATATATATATATATATATATATATATATATATATATATATATATATTATATATATATATATATATATATGTGGTTTACGTACTTACGTATTGAACATGTTCTTCATGAAATATTGCGTAACATATGTATAAAAATTTAGAAGTGATGTTGGAGAATGAAAAAACTCCGGATCATTTTTGAAATGACTATGTATTTCGAAAATAAAGATTTTTTCATAATTTCCTAACATATAGTTAAACTATAAGGAGTGGTCTACAATATATTTATTCAAAATCACCGTCTATCAACTTCACTATATTTTTTTCTAATACGTACTCTACTTAGGAAATACTTACCACTCCACATCAGTAAACAATTTTATTTTTTATTTTTTTAAATACTCAATTTTATTAAAAATACAAGATTTAAAAAAAAAAAATTCATTAAACCAAATTAAAAGTACATTACTAAAACTGAAAATAAAAATTACATTAAAAAAAACATAAAATTAAAAATAAGCGTTATGCTTAAATTAAAAATTACATTAAAACTTAAAATTTATAAATCCTTATACTTGTATGGAGCTTGTTAAAAAGTTCGAGTGGATCCGGTGGAAGATCCAGATGAGATGACATGTTTATCATTTTCAAGTTGTTGATTGTGGTTTTGTATTCTAATTTTGTTTTTTTTTTGTTTTTTTTTTTTTAAGAAAGTCAAGACGATCATCAAGTTTTTTTTATTATTTATTAATTATTATTTTTTTTTACTTTTTTTGAAAGCATTTGAACGAAATTTGGTTCTAGTTAAACGCCATTTTTTTTCCTTTGTCCCTTCTCGATGAATATGTCGCTTTTTTCACCTTGTCCCTTCCCATTGGGCGTCGAAGGGTGACCTCTTCCAGCTCGTCGTTATCGTCATCATCTTCATTGAGGTCAACTCCAAAACCCGCTTCCGACTTCGAAGTTCTTGCTCGTTTGTTGGAACCGGTGGATTGTCTTTGCGAGTGACTAAGCGCACTTGGATCAATGACCCATTTTGATCCGGCTAACATAACACGATGACCAAATGGCTTACCACCATTGATGATTTTTGTATTCTTGAAGAGCGACGCTTAAAATGTCGAAAACATTACACCCGCTATAACGCATGTTTGTGAGGTTGAGGTAGATTCCGTTAAAACTTGTACAACTACTTCTTAACTCGCGCCATTTTCTGTTGACACCATCGTAAGTCTGGTATTCACCTTTAAAAAATGCAAAATTTTCAAAATAATATAATTAATAAATAAACGATATTTTTATAGTTAATAAATAAATGACTTTTTTTATTAAATATGTTATATTGCATCTTTTCCCATTTGTGTGTGGAAGTGTGCTAGAACGCGGTTCCAAAATGTTGTCCCGGTTTGGGCGTTTCCCTTATGTTCATCGATTGATATTGCAATCCAAGTTTTTGTTAGCGTCGCTTCCTCATTTTCATCCCTTTTTTCCTTTGTCCCTTTGTTGCCTTCTTGATGATTGTGGTTGAGTTTCCAACACCGTTTTGACATCATCGTGAGGAGATTGGGGTTGGGAATGTGGTTGTTGTGAAGGTGGTGGTTGTGAAGGTGGAGTTTGAAGTTGTTGAAATTGTGATTGTTGGAATTGGTTTGGTGTTTGGAAAAGCTTTGGTTGTTGGAATTAGTTTTGTTGGTATGGTTGTTGGAAAAGGAGTGATTGTGGAATTGATGAGTTTGTTCGGAAAAACATATTCATGAAACATCCCGATGGTGATTCAAAATTCGGATATTGGCAAAGTGTTGTGTAGAGTGCGAATGTGCCAGCAGGTAAAGTGGGTGTGTGGGGTGTTTGAATTTTGATCCATTTTTGGGATTGTAATATAGAGAGAAAGAAGTGAAAATATTATGTGTTATAGTGTGAAAGTTTTATTGGTATTTATAGATTTAATTTATAAGGTTTAAAAAAAAATGTTTAAAAGAATCAAATTTGAAATGGTCATATGACTATTTATCTTTCTCTCTCATTTGTATTGCATCGTAGCCTAACCCATGATTGTTCACTCGACGTTGCATAGGGGTGGTATTCTAAAGAAAGGCATGCACGACTTTTGTGCAAACTAATCCTACACGTAGTAAAATACCGACACTCCTTATAGCCTTATCGATGTCATTATTCACCCACTATAATCGATTTATGTGTTCATTGGGGTAAATATCATTTATAATAGGTTGAGAACACTCTGGTTGAGATTTTCTAACCCTATTTAATTTAAACATGAACCCAAATCGTTGTCACCCCTTTTTATCTAAGGACTAGAAATACAAAGCTAATAGTTCAGGAAAAGAAAGGATTAAAACTATTATTTACTGGGAATAAAAATACAAAGTTAATATAGTTCAGGGATTAAAACTGCATAATGGTATACTCAAAAAGCTTTTATGCAAATTTCAGGCGTTGTTTTATAACATATCTCAGGGTTTTTCTTTGGCCTTCATTCTTCGTTTTCGTTGCGATCTCTCCAGGTTAGATTATCGGATCGATCATTGACACAGGTACTTCAATCGTTTATTTACCCCTCTTTCGATGTGTATGCATGACGAAATACATAAATCGATTATAGTGGGTGAAATTTCGTTGATTTATGACCTAAAATTTTGCAAAAAAGAGCGAACCCTCTTACAAGCCCTATCCGGACATCGTCACTGTGTATGAGCAAGATTGTGATTTTAGGAACTGAACTGCAGATTATAATCGCTGTTTATCTTATCTTCAGGCTTAAGCTATCTCTCAGTATGTCTGGAGAAGAAGAAGAGAATGCTGCAGAGCTGAAAATAGGCGATGGTAAACCCAAAGTTTTTTTTATCTGTTTCTTTCTTGCCATTGTATTATGAACACAAATTGATAACCAAATATGGGTTTTCAGAGTTTTTGAAGGCCAAGTGTCTAATGAACTGTGAAGTCTCCTTGATTCTTGAACACAAATATGAACAGCTTCAACAGATGTCTGAAGATCCATTGAATCAAGTTTCTCAGTGAGTATAAATTGCTCTCTTTCACCTCGTTTTGCTTTGTGGAATTAATCTTTTACTGTTGATGATCATGATCAGAGTGTTTGAGAAGTCACTGCAATATGTGAAGCGATTCAGTCGTTACAAGAATCCAGATGCTGTTAGACAAGTTCGAGAGTATCCTTAATAACTGCAATGTAAAATCATGTTCTTAATAATTAATATTGTTATCATCTTTTGATATTTCTTAACCAATATTCAGATTGCTAAGTAGACAACAGTTAGCAGAATTTGAGCTTTGTGTTCTTGGAAATCTTTGCCCTGAAACTGTGGAGGAAGCCATTGCTATGGTCCCATCTATCAAGGTACTTACTTGCCTTTTTATGCTAAATGACCATTTACTCCTCCTTCTAAGTAGCCTTCTGTATAAAAATAAAAAATTGCATAGTCTTGAAATGTTAAATTGTTTTTTTTTTCTTCAGTCGAGGGGACGTGGACATGATGATGAGGCTATTGAGAAGATGCTGAATGATATGTCTTTAATTAAAAAGTTTGAGTAGTTTATGACTATATATGTATTTTTCTGCTTCTGCTTCTTCTTCTGATGATGGTGATGATGATAATGATGATGGATGTTGTGTTTCTAGTAAACCTTGTATTGGGTGTAATGTTGACCTAAATATTGGCCAATAATTGTAATGCAATATCAGGTTGTTTAGTTTACATTGTACCTTTTTTGTAATACTGGGTGTAATGTTTATATTTAGTATCCTACTTTGATGGATTTTTTTATCAAAGGTTTGATGTTCATTTTTAGCATCCTACTTTTATACCCAATATAATTATAATTCATAAATAGTTATTTTGTTTTTTTGTTTCTTTTATTCGAGTACACAAAGATGGCAACGAATGAACATTTTTGTGGATATGATTTTGAGAAATCAAAGTTTGTTAATTTTAAAGTTATATGAATTTTGGAATGTCTAGATTCTTGAAAACTGAAATGTGAAAACCTATCCAACCGAATTATAATTTATAATTTGGTTGGTTCGGATCGGATCTTAATTTAATTTGAATCATTTAGGTCTTATATTTTACAAACCAAAATCAATTTAGATTTATTTGTTAGTATCAGATTGAACTGATCCATTCCAATGAACACCCCAACAAAAACAATAGAAGATGATAATGAGTTTGGGTTGATTTCAGGTTTAAATTTTAAACAAAAACAATATAATTTTTCAACAGTCTATACAAAATGAGACAATTTTTCATATGAATTTATCAAACGAAATGATTTTGTATGGTCAAAATAAATGTTGACTTTCTACTCTGTTTGTATGACCACGACCTCTTCAGCCACAATCCACTCATTACATTCCTGCTTCAAAGGTGCACATCCCTTCACCAAAAATAACACAATGTAAGAAATAGCAACCATTTGCTTATTATGGCATCTTACCTTCATTCATTTTTAGGGTTAATGTCATAAATGCTATTTCTTGCTTTTAACCTTTTTTCAATATCCCTTTTCTATACAAATTTGGGAAAGAAACTTTGTATGAAGTGAACTTACCTTAGAACAAGTATACACAATTACACTCGTCCAATCCCAATTTTCCAATGACTGATTCTTTGATGCTTCCTGTAGAAAATATAACAATGGAGGCATAAGCTGCATTTCATAGTGCCTTAATTCACCACACAACAAACATCTTCCAGGATCCCCTGCTTCTGAAGTTGCCAAAAGTGGCTTCCCACCATATGAGTATCTGCCCACACACACAAACTCAACAATTATAATAATTAAAAAAAAAACACCTTTTTCATCATCTTTCATAACAATTTACATACCTGAAACAATGCTCTGGATACACATCCAATCGTTTCTTGAATTTAAGATAAGTTTTGTCAGCATGTAGGGTTCTATCATACTCATAACTTTCCCCTATCCATAATTCTTTCTCATCATTATCATCATCTTTGTTCTCTTCCATTTTATGTTTAGATTCACTCTTATTGAGAGCAGCAGCATCCTCTAAATAATTTTCCTCCTTAGGATATATATAAAAGCATGGTAACACTGCAACCAATAAAACCATTCTTTTATCTTATTTACCCAAAATATAAAATTATTAACATTTTTCTCGGAAAAGTAGTCATACCTGGTGTCTTGTCATCAATGGCTCTACTTAGGCTTATAGGTGAGGGGTTTTCAATTGAATCTGATAAAGTATTCTGCTTTTTCGTTTTGGAAGCTGAAGCTAAACCTGTGGCTTCATTAAGGGCCTTACATATGGCATCAAGGTCTATTTCATCGTCTTCTTCTTCTTCATCATTGAATGCCCATGGATCATCTTGCAACTTAGTGGTTGATGGTGATGCAACAGAATCATGGGATGAAGGGTTTGAATCTTTATCAGTGGAAGATCTCTGAACACGAAGAGCACGCCATCTGTATATGAAAAAAGATTTTTGAATAAGTAATTATGATTTGTGATTATTTACTTAACAAAACAGTATAACTGTATAAGTATAAAGTATAAACTACCTCTTGGTTTCACAAGCTGTTGCAATGCAAGAAAATATGTAAATAACACGCTCTTTTGTTGTCATTGTTGTGCTGGAAATAGGAGCATAAATCTGGGAATTAAAGCAAATAAAGCACAGTTATAAACCACTTCAATTTCATTCAAAGATCTAAGATCATAAAAATCAATGACTTGAAATTAACATTAACCTGAGCCACAAGACATAGTTTCTCTCCACATGAATCACACTTAAGAAGATCAGATTTTATAATCGAATGGAGAAAAGGCCAATCCTGCAAAAGGAGGAGACAGTAGACTTGTTATATAGCAGCATAAATTGTAGTATCACATGAATCACACTAATGTATTTGCATTGTTCAATTTACTTACAGGAACTCCACCGATTTTGGTTGTATAATGATCAGCTGCTTCAGAATTATCATCAGCCCAAAGTCCGGGCATGCCTAGCATGACTTCCCCCATCTTGAACAAAGTAAATGAGATGTGATACAATTAGAACAAGAACAAGCATATCACTCAATATGTAATTTCGATTGTAATCCTGTAGACAAACTTAAATCGACAGCGAGAACTAGTACAAATACAGAAACTTGAGAAGATTTGTGAATCAACAAGCACCAAAATATGTGTAATGGTAAAGAACGAGCAAAATTTACAGTTGCCCATGCACAAAACCCTAAACGAAAACCGCCTATGAAATTAAGAGAGATGTGATGTTCTACTGTCAACGGAAGAGTAATTAACTTAACGTAACCTAACTGGAGGTCCATGAAGATATTGTATATAAGTATAAGTAAGCATGTAATATAGTAATATACCCTTTTGAGTGATTTAGAAGATGCCAAAAGAGCTAGGAGTTTTACGGATATATCTTCGAACGTATGCTTCTCCCAACAGAAATTTGAACGGATAAAAGCAAGATCAGAAGGCGGTGGCGGCGGCCGCGAGCTCGACGGGTTGGGTTGTACGAGAAGGCTGAAGAGTATGCGCTCATTTACTCTTTTCTTTCCGGGAAGATTGAATCATTTAATTACATAACCCCCTGGACTATTGTAAAATTTCACCTTTAGTCCCTTGGCTAAATATCTCTCTCTTTTCCATCTGCCTAATAAATGAAGATAATTTTGACGCATATCATTTTCTTAAGATTTTTGCCACATATTATTATATGAGATTTTTAAATTATTTAAATTCTATATGTTATTTTGTGGTATTTTCAATTTTTTTTATAATAGAAAAATAATAAATTCCACTAATTAATACTTCTATTATATATACAAAGTATTCATTGTATTCATTGTATTAAATGTATAAATCAATACTATAATTAATAACTGTAGTTATTGAAGACATTTTTCTCCATAAAATTAATATAATAGTAAATAGTTTGTGTTTTTCCAACATTAAAAACATTGATTATTGATTTTTTTGTTACATGACTTAAAATAATGAAATGTTATAAAATAATATTGTCAAAAGATAAACTAATTTTAGTGGTGAGTTTTAGGATTTTAAATTTTCTATAGTTAATTCATTTTAAGACTATTTTTTTTAAATATTTTATCTATCTATAATATGTATTTTTATATGTTATATGACAATTAAGTTGTACATATAATCTATATTTTATACATGTAATACAATTACAAACAAAGAAAAAAAATGAATTTGCAGTTTAGGCTTAGGTCATGTAAAACCATGTTTTGATATATTAACATTATTTTTATATAGCTACAAGTTTGAATTTATAATATCTTCATTTTACTAATTGAACTTTTAAAAATTTATAACATTTTTTCATTATAGTTTTATTATATGAATTATTATTTAAAGATACAAATACGATATGGATTCAAACGACCCTAAAGACATACACAAATATAGAAAATTATATTTGGATAAAAGAAAATCCAATGTTATGTTCCATGTCAATTAACAATTGTTTATCTACAAGTCAATTTAGTTTGACTGTCATTCATTTTATTAAAATTCATTTTATATTTAATGTAGACAAAATTACAAAAATGGTCATTGTGGTTTGCCAAAAGTAAAAAAGTTAGTCCCTGCTAACTTTTTTGGATGCAAATGGCCCTTGTGGTTTGTAAAACTTGCACAGATGACCCTTTTTCCTAACGCCGTTACTATTTATTGTTTATGTTTTAACGATTTTGTTATTATATAAATTAGTTTTAGGAAATAATTAACCAAGAGAGCATTCAGCTCAATTGGTTAAGGCTTTGGTAATTTAAGAGGGTGGAGGTCATGAGTTGAATCCTTCCCCTAGCAATTTATTTGTCTTTTTCAAAGAAATTTCAAAAATGGTCATTGTAGTTTACCAAATGTCACGAATTCAGTCCCTTTATACTTGAAAAGACGAAAATGCCCTTACAGATTCAGTCGCTAACGGCTGAATAGTAACGGCGTTAGTAAAAAGGGTCATCTGTACAAGTTTTGCAAACCATAAGGGCCATTTGCATAAAAAAAAATTAGCAGAGACTAACTTTGTTATTTTTGGCAAACCACAAGGACCATTTTTGTAATTTTGTCTTTAATGTATTATATAAAAAAAATATTGTTTTATATTGTATCACTTTTTATGTCACATAATCAAAACATTTTCTTATTAATTGTTGTTACTATTATATATCAACTGTAGGTAACCATCCACAATAACATTTAACATCTTCAAATAATTGATGTATGTTGTCGGTGACAATGAAAATGTGAATCTAAATATATCATCAACATACAAGTTTCCAATCTACTTATAATTTTAGTATTACAAGTCCATTATCTAAAGATGATAACGACCAAAAAAAATTATATTTGGATAACAGAAGATCTAATTATATGTTCATTACACCAAATGATTTTTTTTTTCTATCATGCAATTTATTTGACTTTTCATCCATATTTTTATGTTACACATTTGATGTTAAGTTTATTGATTAATTACTTCTATGTAGACCTTTTGCAACATAACCAATACATATTTGTATTAACTATTGTTATTATTACATGCCTAATGGTTGTAATGATCATCATTCTTTGAATATATTTTCAATTTTAATTTAATAAATATGTTATATATCATTTTTGATGATGCCACTATGTTTATTTTATCTTTTTTTTTCTTAATATATACGCTAAGTTACAAATATTTATACTTATAGTATAACTTACATCGTCTATAGTTTTCTCAATGTTTTTTAATTTCAGCAGCAACAGTGAAACATCGTCATCAAGAAAGTGTACGTATGTTGTCGGTAACAATCTAAATGTCAACCCAAGTATATCATGTGGATATCAACATACACGTTTCTAATACTTCCGAATTTAATCAGAAATGTCTATTATAACCCTGCTAATTTTAATTTGTGATTCAAATAAGTATTTGGAAATTTTGATTCATAACAAACTATTTACAATGTCAATAGTTTTTTTTATTAGTGTAGATTCAGTTACCTACTTATTCATCATTTATTTGTATTTATTTAAAGTTTACTTTAAAAAATATTTAATGTTTACATCTTAATTTTCAATATTATTATTTAAAATATGTCAATAGTTTTTTATTAGTATAAATTGAATTACTTACCAATTTATTATATCTATGTAAAAGTATTTTCTTTAAAAAATGTTTACTGTTTACACATTAATATTAAACTTTTATTTTTAATAAACACGTATAGTATATGAGTTTCACACCTAGTATTTTTTAAAGGAAAAAAAGGAGGCCAATCGAAAGGTATGTTGTATTTTCTTGTTTCCTAGTTTAAAAAAAAGAAAATGAAAATAAATTTGGTATGTATTCTTGAGTTGAATGGAAATGAAAAAAAAAAGTTATAAAAGCACAATTATACTCTTTAGTAAATTTTTTACCACACGTTTTCAATTTTGTCAAAAAAAACTAGAAGAGCAATTTCAGTAATTATAAACAACAAATACTCTTGCATTATCTTTCTCCATATTACAAAGTTTTTTTTTTGGAGAAAAAAACCATTCTCAATCTCTTTCAAGTTTACACTTTTGATCCAAGTTTAACTCTTTTTACTCATTTTGTCCGATCTTTTTTTTTTTTACGGGTTTTTTTAAAACTTTTTTTGAACAAGTCAATTTTTATATAGAGGATTATGGCTGCAAAGATGCACTCGTTTTACAAGCTTTATTGCCACTTTTAGCACAGTTTCCTGTTGATGTTAGTTCAAGTCCCCGGATCATGATCTAACACGTAGGAAATTACCCAAGGGCAAGTGGCACAGAGAATCATGCTGTAATTGTTGAAAGATTTATAACGTTTTTTGAGCATCACAGAACAGATGTGATATGGGGGTCGTTTCTTGAAGAAACCAATTACTCCTGGTTTATCAATTATTGCTGTTACTATCAGTAAAAATGTTGCTATCACAGATGAAAATAAATAGCATACTGCTACTTTTTGCAATTTGCCATTTTCAAATCCTACTTTGACAACTAAGTTTTACATTTGTTGGCAAATTTTCAAATTGCAACTCCTTCATGGTTAGTATATTCAGACATCAAACACAATGAAACACACAGCCAATCGAGTCCTTGGAAACAAATCAACAAAAACAACTAGTTGCTTTTAAAGTTTACAAAATCCATCTCCAAATTCATCTCATATATTACAAGTATCATAACACAAACCGATAAATTAAAAACTGATAACAGCAACATATTATCAAAAACAGACTCTAATGCAAACCATGAACACCTAAAATGTCACATTCTTGAAGCTGTAACAGAAAAAAAAAGATTAGAGATTTATAAAGAATAATGGTATGAAAGTATGTTAGCTATGGGTGAATAGGAAAGCCTACCTCCACCCACTGTTGCTTCAGGCCAATGTTTTAAAAACCGGTTTGAACCGGCCGGTCGAACCGGTTGGACCGGGAACCGGGGAAGAGAGCGGTTCAACTATCACCGGTTTTATGTCAATTTCTGAACCGGATTGAACCGGCCGGTTTTTAGAAAAACTCGGTTGAACCGGTCAAAATAAACCGGTTGAACCGGTTAACCCGAATAAAAACACATGCGAAATACCCATTTACATAATAAACTTTGGTGATTTTTTTCAAATCTATTTAGTTTTCTCTAAATAAAAACATATGATAAATGTTATAATGTTTTTTGATATGTTTGTAGTCATCAAAAACTATATTTTGTTTCGGTATTATATTCTATTTTCTTTTTGATGTATATGGATTGATGTAGAACACTAAAACTTATGGTTATGTGTTATTTTAATGTATTTGGATTGATCTACAACTCATTTTTATGTATATTTTTAATGTTTGAACTAGTAAACGTCAAATTCATTATTTATATATGTATGTATGTATAAGAAAATAGGAAAAAAGATGAAAATTATAGAAACCGGTTGACCCGACGGTTGAACCGGGAACCAGTTACCATACCGGTTCAACTAAAAAACCGGTTTTTAAAACATTGCTTTAGGCAATCTTTCAATTGAGTACTTGTGTTGTGTGATATACATAATTGGCACACCAGGTATCTAATTATTACCAAAATTTTCATCAAAATTAAATTTAAACCTCCAATCATACACATTTTATAATATAAAAACCAAAAAAGAAAACATACCTTGCGAATCCTACGCTTTAAATCTCTATCACATGTCGCTACCAAATAGCACTTGTGCTGTTTCAAAAAAAAAATGGGATTTAACACAACATATGATTGTATTGAACCCATTATTCAGGGGTTTAAAAGATAAAGATATTTACCTGAGTAACTCTTTCAACAATGCAGTCATCAGCATAAGTTCCTTTGTGTGTGCAAGGAAGCCTTTCAAATCTAGGATCCTTGGCAATTCTGTTTCACCAATAATACAAACTTTCTTTGAAGTAAAATAATGATGAATAATTATGGTGTGTAAAGAATGAAGAACAATGAGATTACCTTAAAGCAACACGATATTTCTGACCAAGTTTCTCAAGTTCAGCCATCACACAATCGGTAATACATGGAGTGCCTTTTAGGGAGAAAAAAAATTTAATTAGAATGCATTAATATAATGCCCTTTTAATCAATGTAAAAGAGTACTACTCCATTTGCCCTTAAAATAAATGCAAAGTTTAAGAGGACACACACATCAAAGCTTACATTTTGCATATAAGCAGTCCATCATTCCCTTCTCCAAGTCCAACTACATCAAAAGTTTGTAACATTTTCAGTCCAGATTGCAAAAGTAAAACAAGTAAGTTATCACAAAAAAGTACTGAGATTTGCATAAAAAAGTATCTTTGAATTACAATTGAAAAGCAAAAAATAACAAATTAAGCAAAACTCACTTTATTTTGGATTGAGAAATTGATGAAGTTGGTATCAACCAAAACTCGATAAGGTGGCCCAAGAGCTGTATTGTATGTAAAGAACAGAGCAGAAGAAACATAGGGTCTGCAAATTGCAAATCACAAATCACAAATCAAATGCTTCAAATCATGATATACAACAGACAAGAACATGATGAATTACAAACTCACACATTTCTAGGGAGCTTTGTTAAATCCTTTTTATTAGGGTTCAAGAGGTCTTCTTTATGTCTGAAGAAAGAAACAGCATGATTAACAACAGTCAAGGGATAGAAACGTTAATGAGCAAAAACTAACAGAGGAAAGAGAATGATTACTGTTTAATCGCTTTATGAGAGACAGTTTTTTTCATTACAGCGAATTTGGGACCCTTCTTTGCTCTCCCCATCTCTCTCTCTGTCTCTCACTAAACCTGATTGATTTGAGGAATGTTACTGAATTACAAACCCTACAACACTTGTATATGATAGATTTGTTAATCAACAAACACCAAAATTTACAGTTGCCCATGCACAAAACCATAAAACGAAAACCGCCTGTGAAATTAAGAGAGAGGTGGTGTTCAACTGTCAACGGGAGAGTAATTAACTTAACGTAGCCTAATTGGAGGTCCGTGAAGATATTGTATATAGTAAAAGCTTGTAATATACCGTTTTGGGTGATTTAGAAGATGCCAAAAGAGCTGGAAGTTTTACGGATATATCTTCGAACTATGCTTCTCCTAACAGAAATTTGAACGGATAAAAGCAAGATCAGGGAGGTTGTGGCGGTGGCGGTGGCGGCGGCCGCGAGCGAGCGGTTGTACGAGGAGACTGAAGAGTATGAGCCATTTTTGCTCTTTTCTTTCCGGGAAGATTGAATTACATTACCCCCCTAGACTATTGTACAATTTTACCTGTAGTCCTCGGCTAGATGAATAATTACTAGAGTCCTAGAGTTGTCTACTTTATTTTTTTTTTATTTTAAATAAAATCTACTTTATTTTTTTTAATTTTAAATAAAAAAAACAAATTACATTAATCTTATTTATTATTTATTTAAAATTTAAGCAAAATCAAAATATTTATCTAAATAGCCATAACTTTTACATATAGACATCTGCAAAAATCTCTATTATATGTAAATCCAACGCATGAAAATCGTTTTGGTATTTAAGGGGGATAAAATGAAAACTTATTCATATTTACAAGAGATTTTCTCAGGCAGAAAAAAAAATGAGGTTCCCTCATATGCCATTCGCAAAAAAATGAATTCCTCACATGTCATCTTAAAAAAATGTTATATTTTTTCACATGCCACGTGCATAATCATGGTTTTTCTCGTTTGTGAAAAAAATAGATTTCCTCATATATCATCTACGAAATAAGAAAAGCGTGTACTTTTTAGTAATTCGTACTGCGAAATCCTAATATTTATTCAATGGATTTAATGGTTGTTTTATAAGATCTAATTTTCATAGAAAATAAATCATTACAACTTTTTTTTGTCTGATATTAGTTTTCTCTTGAAAAAATATGACTCAAAATCTTACAGATGAGTATCATACATACTTATAAAGCTAGCATTTTTTCTTGAATCTCATTCATTTGAAACCCTATTTTTTAATTTCCTTTCACCACATTCATTTGAAACTCCCATGACTTTTCAATTTCTTTACAATAATATTATAAATAAGTTAAATAATGTTCTATAAACAAGAAATGGTGTTTTATTACAATGTCTTCATCCCACATCGATGGTGAGAGTAAACAAGAGAATGTTTCCTCATCTATAAATATGAAAGGTTGTGAAATGTTTCAAAGGGACCAAACCATGAGAACTTCCTCATGCCTACCTTTGTAGGATTTTGAAGGTATTATTTGGTGAGATTGTCTATATTGGCAAGTGTCTAGTTAACTTTTAGAATTCCAAAAATGGTTTTGAACTGAATTTTTTCAGGTTTAAATCGTGTTTCAGTTAGAAAAAAAAATTATGTAATTGGGTATATTGACTTGAACCGGAGCTGGATCAATTTGGACCGATAAAGGAATCATTTTCCTTTCACAACAAACATTTGAAACTCCCATGATTTTTTAAATTATTTCTAATAATATTATAAATAAGTTACATAATTTTATATAAATATAAAAAAGCATCGACCTAAACCTAAAATTATAATTGTTTGAAAAATCACTTTTATTCAAAAGCACGAAATATATACAAACCAGGTTTCACTATAAAAAAATATGTAGTTTGATATATTTAGTTGAATCGGTGCGAGTTTGATCTATTTAGACAATAAAAGAAGCATTTTCCTTTCATTACATACATTTGAAACTCCCATGATTTTTCAAATTGTTTCCAATAATATTTTAAAAAAGTTACATAATGTTATATAAATATAAAAAAACATCTACCTAAACATAAAATTATAATTGTTTGAAAATTCAATTTGATCAAAAGCACGAAATATATACTCAGATTATATTTTATAAATGAATTCTTTTTATAATGAATTTTTGAATCATGAAAATACATATAAACAAACTTTCTATATTAAGTACCTAACTGAATTTATGATTTTAGAATTAAACAAAAAGTTATTCAATAAAAACTTACTTTTTTGGATAACCACTTACGAGATTATAGAAAAATGGAACTATTGAACAATAAAGAAAGGGTAAACAAGAGAAAGGGTGTTTTACTAAATAAGTTGAATAATGTTTTATAAACAAGAAAGTGTGTTTTATTACAATGTCTTCATCCCACATCGATGGTGAGAGTAAACAAGAGAACGTTTCCTCTTCTATAAATAGGAAAGGTTGTGAAATGTTTCAAAGGAACCAAACCATGAAAACTTCCTTATGCCTACCTTTTTAGGATGTTGAGGGTATTCTTTGGTGAGATTGTCTTTATTGGCAACTGTCCATTTAAGTTTTAGAATCCTGAAAATGGTTTTGAACAAGATTTTTTTAGGTTCAGTTTCAGCTGAAAAACCGTTATGTAGTTTGGTATGTTGAGTTGAATCGGTCTGAGTTTGATCAATTTGGATCGATAAAGGAAGCATTTTCCTTTCAGCACATACATTTGAAACTCCCATGATTTGTCAAATTGTTTCTAATAATATTATAAATAAGTTACCTAAACATAAAATTATAATTGTTTGAAAAATAATTTTGATTCAAAAACACAAAATATATACAAACCGGGTTTCAATAGAAAAAACGTTATGTAGTTTTGTATATTAAGCTGAATCGGTCCGAGTTTGATCAATTTGGACCGATAAATGAAGCATTTTCCTTTCACCACATACATTTGAAACTCTCATGATTATTCAAATTGTTTATAATAATATTATAAGTTACATAATGTTATATAAATATAAAAAAATCTACCTAAACATAAAATTATAATTGTTTGAAAAATCATTTTGATTTAAAAACACGAAATATATACTCGCTTATATTTTATAAATGAATTCATTTTATAATGACATTTTGAATCATGAAAATACATATAAACAAACTTTCTATATTGAGTACTTAACTAAATTTTTGATTTTAGGATTTAACAAAAAATTATTCAATAAAAACTTAATTTTTTTATAGCAACTTACGAGATTACTGAAAAATGGAACTATTGAACAATAAATTTTCTGGATAACATTTTATTTTTATTATTTAATATTTTATTTAACAAAATGAAATTATTGGCAAATAAAGAAATGAGTTTAATTAAAATGTCTTCATCCCACATTGATCGTGAGAGTAAACAAGAAAATGTATTCTCCTCTATAAATAGGAAAGGTTGTTAAATATTTCAAAGGGACTAAGCTATGAGATCTTCCTTGCATCTAACTTTGTAGGACGTTGAGTGTATTCTTTGGTGAGATTGTCTTTGTCGACAAGTGACCAATTAAATTTCAGAATTTCGAAAATGATTTTAGACCGTATTTTTTAGATTTGGATCGAGTTTAATAAATATCCGAGTGTCTTCTGGCTGAGTTAGGCAAACTCGTTTCCATTGGAGGCCGAGTTTAAGTAACATGCCGATTATTTGGTTGTGTTAGCCAAGTTTTACAACCCTGTATGTAATACAATTTAAAGTTTTAACCTTATAAAAGAAGTCACTATTATCATATGTTCTACATAATTATGGTAATATTTATGATACAAAACATTTTTTTTACTATTTAAGATAAAAAGTTGTCTCTATTATCATATGTTGTACAAAATGATAAAATTTAAGATAGATAAAAAGATGTCTCTATATTATCGTATTTTCTACATAATGATAATATTTAATATTAATGTTTTAATTTAATATAAAATTATTATTTAATAGATAACAATAACGATTTATTTATTTATATTTTTTTCTATTTTAACCATATAACTTTGTATATGCAAAACAGGTTCAAGTTCCAACCTTATCTCTTATGATATAGTTCAACATAATAACAATACTAAAAATATTTTTTATATTTTTTATGAAATTATTATTTAATTTTTAATAACAATGATTTAGTTATTTTTAATATAAAATATTTTTTTATATCCCACGCAACGCGTGTGCATTCGTCTAGTTTTATTGTTATTTGTATGACATATTCTGTTGTTATTTGTATCGACTGTTCATGGCAGTCATTAAGAATAGATAATGTATTTACATTATGATTTTTGTTAAAAACTATAATGTAGAAACTTCATCAAATATAGATTCCTTTGATTTATTAAAATGAAGACATGTTTGGAAGACAAATATAATATATGTCTGTCTTTTCAACATCCTACAATGTAGTTTATTGTAGAGATAATCGTTGAAAGTGATATAAAACACTTGGAAAGGGTTATTTCAAGCTTAAAATGTTGTATATCGATAGATAATGGTCAAATAGAAGAAGCTTCAATTGTTAATACAATGAAATAAAACAATCTATTAAAAAAGCTCCGATAACAAAAGAGGAAAAATGCTTTGTTGAGAAGCCATCTAGCGGAAGAGATAATGCCAATCAAACTTATATTTTATATATCTAAAAGCGATCCTTAATACCCTACTATCCTTCCGGATATGCTACATATGAAACATTTATATAACCATAATATCATTATGACAATCCGATACAATCATAAAAACGTTGGACACGTTTTATATGAATCACAATTTCCAGATTTCAGATTCATTATGTCAACCCATAAACTTGTAAGTATGTTTGTGATGATGTCGTTGTTGCATCTGCCAATATTGTTCTTAGAAATGACAATAACATTGGGAAAAATAATAATACAACTCTCGTTAAAAATAAAGTTGTTATTAAAGATGATGATAAAGATTAGCAAGAAGTAGTAAGAACCTTACTTATTCCAATATTAAAAATGTTAAGTGAATTTTTAGAGAAAAAATTAAAAGTTTTTCTTAAAAAGTTGTCTAAAAATTATCAGTAAATATGCTACAAAAGATGAATAAAAAAAAATGAAAAAAAAATACAAAACAAATTATTTTAGAAAATAAATAAAAATTGATGTTTAATCGAAAATCTCAATATATCCACACAGGCACAAATTATATAAGTCACGTACCCGACCCGGTAGGCGTCGTGCACCTTTGATACGGTTAACCTGCAAGGCTGCAACCTTGGTGGCTGTTCGTGGCGTTCTACTTCCAGAAGCTCATTAACACAAACCCTAATTCCATCCTGTACAATCAAAGAATGAATAGTGAGACTAGGATGTAAATGGCAGCAATAAGGCGTATACTTGTCTCTTCTTTATCTCGTTCTTCATCAAATTACACCAGCGAACTAGTGTATAATACCAACCACAAGTGGATCTCCACAACCATCCACCTCAATCAGTCATGGATGAATAAGATCAAAGGTGCCTTCACGGGGAAAAAACCCACTTCACCAGCTAACGAAGACGTCACGTCGCAATCATTCACTCTCTTTAGTAAGATCGCAATCTATTACTTCAAACCTGTCCAAAATTATGCTCCATTTCGCAAAATTTCCGTTTCCAACTTTACACATACCGTATACTAAGTAACAATTTTTCTGGAAAACTGTAATCGTAGTCGCATAATAATGGCGAATTGAACCAGAAACGACTATCTCTTTCTCTCTGTCTCTTTATGTATGTATGTATGTATATGTTAGGGTTTGCGGATGAGCTGAAAAATGCACGGAAGTTGGGTACTTTCAAACAATACATGGTTGGTCGAAGCAGTCAAGCCACATTTGCAGATGCATTCGAGAAGCAAGAGGCTATAATTCGATTTCTTGGGGGATTTGATCCCAGTGGAGAGGTTGTCCCCTACTAGTTATCATCACATTGTTTTCAGTTTCAAATGTTTCTATGTTCATTTAGTGTATTTGTTTAGTCTTTAGATGTGTTCTTCAAGACTTTATTTTGAGTATTAATGACTGATTTGAGTTTCTATATACTGCAAATGTAGAATATCCAACCTAGTCAAAAGCAAGAAGCAGCAAAATGTTGTAATTGCACTATAGCTGATGTGGAAAATACTTTGGCTAAATTCACTTGGGCTAAAGAAGCTCAGAGGAAAATTGAGAAGATGAAGGAAGAAGGAAAGCCAATGCCAAAGAGTTTAGCTGAGGTATTAACTATTAAGTCGTTCTTATTCCCATAAAATGTTGTCTGTATAAATGATGTTTAAAAATGTCTCTTCTTTTTCCCTGACTTTATTAAGTCAGTTTCTTCTGCATTAAGTAAAAAGAAACAACACCTCTAGTCTCTTTACTAGACACCCATATATGTTTTACTACATATGTTGCTAATTTATCTTAATTGCTATTTTATATCTTTATTTATGTAGGTCCAACAGCTAATGGGATCAACACCAATGGATCTTGCCCAATCAAACATGGCTAAGAGTGGACAAATAAGTAGAAATGCACTGTGCCCTTGTGGATCTAAAAAGAGATACAAACGGTATATTTTCATACTTCAGTTTATTTGTAATATCAATTACATCCTTTTAATCTAATTAGGGTGCAATCTCACTAATCTTAATGCTTTAGACTTTAGTTTACAAGTAATGGCCTTTCACTTATTGATTCGTTAAGTTCCAAATTTGAATTTAATCTTTTGGTTTTGATTGTTACAAAGGTGTTGTGGAGCTGAAGGGAGCACAACAACCAAGAATTAAATATTAAGTTGATCAGCGATAAGTGCGTATGGATGTTTAGTTTATTTTGTAGTGTTTTCCCTTCCCACTTCGGGAGTATTGTAGCTTCTGAAATAATTTCGATGTGTGGGGTGCACCACTAATTATTTCACCCCATAAATTTTGAAAATAAAACATTTTTTTTTCCCCATGTTGCTATGTATGTTCGATGATTCATATATTCTATATGGTTATATAGGAGCAAAGTTGAAATGAGAACCTACTTTCATTGTGAGACTGTAAAGATTTTGTAAGGTGCTGTTTGTGTTTTTTAAGACCGGTAGGTATGGGCAACGTCCATACGCGTTATTCCAACGTGGCACCCTAATAACGGCGCCATAACACCTTGAACACCACCCCGGGTGCGTGTTATTTGGTGTTATGGTATTAGGCGTTGCCACGGTAACGAGATGCAATGGGGTTAATTCACTCAACGGTCAAAAATTTAACCGTTCAAGAATGATCAAAAAGTAAAAAAAAAAAATTTTAAAAAAAATCATTTTTCAATTTTATTCACCTATAAATGCATATTCACTTCATTTTTTACACAAAATACCTTCATTTTTCACTTTATTTTTTTTCAAACTACTTTCATTTCTCACTTTCAAAACAAAAATGTAATTTTTCTCATCTTTTGTTGTTTTTTAGGTTTTTAAATGCTTTTGTTTTTTGTTGTAATTTTTTTAATGATATGTTTAGTTTAGGATTTATTATAATTTTATCTTTACTTTTTAAATGTTATTTTTAATTTATGATTTAATTTATATGATAATTATAAATATTATGACATAAATAAAAAAACAAATTGGAAATATAGAAAATTAAAAACATCAAAAATAAAATAAAAAATAAGGGGGTGTTATCAGATGTTATTTTGTGTTGCCCATTTTCACATTGGGTGTTATAACATCTATGTATGACTAGGATGATGATTTGATACATTTTGGGTGTGTTAACATGCAATAACATGTTGCCCACACCCAACAGCCTAAAAAACCAATTCTAACCATTTATTGTTGTGCCGCGCAACACACACGCATCATTTGGCTCTTCGCAGCTGTTTGTTTTTCAGAAGACTTCTGACTTAAAAACTGCTGCACGTGTGCTACGTGGCACAACACTTGACCCTCTGCTTCAAACTTATTCACACATTACTTTAACTTGTTGTAGCAGTCTGCAGAGGTTAAAAAACAAACATACTTTTTATTACATGTTGCAGCCGTTTGGTCCCACTCTTCTGCTACAGAGGGTTGCAGGTTTGGTCCGCAGAATTCAGACATTTTCGCTTCGAAAAAACAAACGGCATCTAAGTTTCTCAAAAACAATTCCCATTTACATGGTTACTGGTGCGGGTGGAGGTAGACAAGTCTTAAAAAAGAACAAGGATGTAACATGTTTCTCAATTTATGCTAAACATTTAGGGCGCATTTAGTTACGAAAACTTGTTTTCCATTTTCAGAAAAAATGAAATGAGATTTCAATTTTTTTTTTCGGCTCATTTAGTTACAAAAACTTGTTTTCCATTTTCAGAAAAAATGAAATGAGTTTTCAATTTCTTTTTTCAATAGAAAGTTTAGGAAATGTGTTTGGTTAAAATTGATTGAGTTTTTATCTTCTATTTTAGAAAATTATAAAGCGTGTTAGATGTGCATTATGTTGAATCCTCTAGTTTCAATCAAAGTTGTGTGCTTTTTGATTCTATGGAAGGCTAAACCATTAGAGTTACTTCGAGGGATGTTTAGAAAAATTAATAAACACACTTGATTATTAGTTTGTTCTAGTTAATTTTGATTATTGTTTTATGCTTTATGTGACGATTTTTAGTAATAAAAATTGAAATGGGTTGTGCGGATTTATTTGATTTCTTAACTAAAATAGTACATTATCAATTCACCGATTGTTTTAAGTTTAAGTAGTTTAGGAACAAAGTCAATTGGTTGACTCCATATTCCAACTTGTGATATTAAATGCTTATAATTGTAATAGGTAGTTGCATGACATTTTATTGCCAATGCACTATTTGTTCCTAATCTAATTAAATATAATGAAGAAGACAACTAGCTAAATGAACAGTACCAAAAATTATGTGTTACATGCTAATCGATTCTGATTACATCTAAATAACTGAACTAGGATTTTAGAGAAGAAAGTATGTAAATCTAAACTGTCCGACAACTAAACCGAAGTACCGTAGTTTTCTCATTGAAAGTTTCTTGTTAATTAATAAAGTTTCAAGTGTTTTGCTTTGTCTTTGGTTTAAATTATTTTTATAATAATTGCAAATATCTATTCCTTCTTTTTGACTATTCTAATACAAAGTATGACGACAAACTCCTCGTGGTTTCAAACCTTACTTACCCTCGCTATCTAGTGGTTTTTGAGGTTATTTTTTATTGAGACAACGACATCGATCAAGGGTGTAGGCTTATAGGTGATGAAGAGTGTTAGAGGTTTTGGTGTATGGTAGTGAGTGGGTGTATGGGTGTGGGTGTGGGTACAGGGTATGAGTGTTGGGTGTGGATGAGTATATGGCATGGGTGGTGGTGGTGAGTATATAGGTGAGTGGTGTGTAGGGGTGTTGGTGTAACACGCTATTTTCATTTAGTTATTAAGAAAGAGCAAGATATAAATAAAAATGTATAACTATATAATTATAGATAAGCTTTTAAGGTTTTAAAAGTGAATTAATTAAATATAATGCGTTATATAAATTTAAAGTGACTTAAAAAACATAAACGCTTTGAAAGCATGAATCTGCCTCGAACTTCTAAAAATTGTAAAGATAAGAAACGTGATAGCTAGTTTGTTTTAAATACAAGATACATATTGTTGTATTATCATAACCATAGAATTAGGATCTTCAGTTGTAATTATATATTATATAATGAAAGCCAACCCTCAGGGTAATTCACGCCAAATACAAGATTGTTTACTTGGTATTAGAGCCACAGATCCATCTGATCCCTCTGCACCGAAACCCTACTCCCGGCTCTTCTGGTCTCCTTCCAAAGAGTATCTCTTCAATTCTCCATCATGTCTGCACATGTAAAATCATCAACCATTGCTACCGCCATATCTTGCAAATTGACCTGTACCAACTTCCTGTTATGGAAGGCTCAGGTAATCCCTATTCTACGAGGTGTGCAATTGTTTGGCCATCTCGATGGCACTACACCGGCTCCCCCAGAAAAAGTGGTCACTGGACCCAGCACCGCCAGAAAAGAGGCAACAAAACCCTCTAAAGAATCGCCTAACCCTGACTACCAGACATGGGTTATTCAAGATCAGGCTGTGATCGGAGGTCTGTTATCCTCCATGATTGAGGAAGTTCTTCCTCAGCTTATTCGATGTATCAGCACTGCCCAGCAATTGTGGACATCACTCCACACAATGTTTTCTGCCCAGCATCGCGGTAATTCAATTCAAATCCGCACTCATATCTCAACAACAAGAAAGGGGGACATGACTGCTGCTGAGTACTATCAGAAAATGACCGGATTTGCTGATACAATGGCAAATATTGGTCAGCCAATGAATGATGAAGAAGTGATTGGGTATATGCTGGCAGGACTAGGGCCCGGACATAGTGATTTGTTTACTGCAATTACCGTCCTGAGCAATGAGCGAAAGGTAACGTTACCTGAATTTTATTCCTACTTAATAGCACATGAAGCTCAAGCCGCTGCCATAGGAAACACCGTTGAATTCACATCCTCTGCTAACACTGCTTCTCGACAAGAATCAAGCAACAACAACAATGCATCTCATCGCAGTTACAGCAACAACAATGGCTATAATAATTTCAATCAGCGGGGCAGCTACAGAGGAGGAGGTGGCCGTGGAAGAGGCCGTGGTCGTGGTCGAAACGGTGGAGGACCACGCTGCCAGGTTTGCAGCATACCAGGTCATACGGCTCTCACTTGCAGAAACCGATTTAATCATGCTTATCAATCTGAACACTATCATAGTGGGAACAGTGTGATGACAGGAAGACACAATCAAGATCCAAATTGGTTTTTAGATTGTGGAGCAACTGATCATCTGACCAGTGACCTGGATCGGCTTATTGTTCAAGATCGCTATCAAGGGAAAGATCAAGTGCAAGTAGCAAATGGTGCAGGTTTGTCTATTTCACACATTGGTCATTCAATAATTCCCGGTTTAACTAGACCTCTTGTTCTAAAAAATGTTTTACATGTTCCTCATATTAGTAAACATCTTTTGTCTGCTCAAAGACTCGCTTCTGATAATCATGTTTTCATTGAACTTTACCCTAATGTTTTCTTTGTTAAGGACATAGTCACGAAGAAAATTCTTCTACTCGGTAGAAGCAAAGGAGGTCTCTATCCCATTCCTGTCAGTCGTTTCAGAAGTCTTCAGCAGCATCACAGTCTGTCAAGTGTCAAGGTCTCTAATCCTCAATGGTATAAGCGTCTGGGTCATCCCACTTCAATAGTTGTCAAGACAATTTTGAATTCTAATAAATTAGGTCGTTCTTTTCATAATGATTCGGTTGTTTGTGATGTTTGTCAACGTGCTAAGAGTCATCAACTTCCTTATAATAATTTTGTTCGTGTTTCTACTTTTCCTCTTGAACTAGTGCATACTGATGTTTGGGGACCTGCTCAAGTGTCCAGTGGAGGTTTTAAATATTATGTTAGTTTTTTGGATGACTATAGCCGATACACTTGGATTTATTTTATCAAACACAAATATGATGTTGAGCAAGTTTTTTACACTTTTCAGAGTCATGTAGAACGTCTCTTAAACACAAAAATTCGTTGTGTTCAATCTGATTGGGGCGGTGAATATCATAAATTGCACCGATACTTTCAAAAAATAGGCATAGCTCATCAAGTTTCTTGTCCACATACATCTCCCCAAAACGGAGTGGCTGAACGAAAACACCGACACATAGTCGAAACAGGTCTTGCTCTTTTAGCACATTCATCTCTTCCCCTTCGTTTTTGGGATGAAGCCTTCTTGACGGCGTGTTATTTAATAAATCGCATGCCCAGTCATACTATTGGTAATGCCACACCCATTACACGACTTTTAAAAATTCATCCTGATTATTCCTTTCTTCGTGTTTTTGGTTGTGCATGTTGGCCCAACTTAAGAAAATATAACACACGTAAGCTCAGTTTTCGATCGACTTTGTGTGTTTTCTTAGGGTACAGTTCTATCCATAAAGGTTACAAGTGTC